AAAGAAAGAAAGAAAGAAAGAAAGAAAGAAAGAAAGAAAGAAAGATGGATGGATGGATGGATGGATGGATTGTGGGGTCCTTGATGCTCTGTGAACTTGGTGGTTTTCTTAGACATTTCAAGACCCAACTAGGTAACTTCATCAGTGTTTGAAAGGAGTGGTGTTTGCAGAATGATGGAGGAGGAGGAGGAGGAGGAGGAGGATTGTGGGGTCCTTGATGCTCTGTGAACTTGGTGGTTTTCTTAGACATTTCAAGACCCAACTAGATAACATCATCAGTGTTTGAAAGGAATGGTGTTTGCAGAATGATGGAGGAGGAGAAGGAGGAGGAGGAGGAGGATTGTGGGATCCTTGGTGCTCTATGAACGTGCTATGAATGCACACAAGACAAAAAATGAGGTTTTTCAACACACGTCTTTATTGAATACTGAACACACCCAACCGTTGCCTTGCTTTTCAACAGAGTACCACACACACAAAAAAATACACAACGTTTTACTCCTTCCTTACTCCTTTGCATCTTCTAATTCAGTTGGGGGCATCAGATGGTGTGTTTTTTTTTTTATACTGGCTGGGGAGGATGGGTTCTGTAATCCCAATATAGGCGGATTTGGGGAAGGCAAACTTTAAAGACAGGTTACCAAATGCAAGTTCTGATGACAAAATGACTTTGTTTGTCAACTCTCTGGTGCCTCCCCGTGGCAATTTATTAAAAAGTCTACAGGAAAAAAAAACAACACTTTTTTTCCGTCCCCCCAGCTAAGTTTTCTGCTTAAAAAATCAAAGCAGAATAAAAGATCGGATGCAGCCCAAGACCTCGAGGGTTATGTACAATGTTTCGTTTTAACGAAAGTCCCCCCGAATATATATATATATTTTAAAAAGATATGATTTTTTAAAAAATATGTTGCCGTTCTAGAAATAAATTCTCTATAATATATATAAAATCTATTTATTTATAGAAATAAGAACCGGTCGCTCGGTCTTTCATCCCGAAATACAGAAACCTATTGGAAATCCTCAGCTGTGTCATGCCCCTTTTGGAATTGGACTCTGAGGGGGGAGGTCGAGTAGCCGACGGGGAGTGGGATTGTGGCTCCGGTGGCTGTAGAGAAAACTGGGGAAAGGCAAAGGCTGGTTGGGCATTCAGAGGAAGACCCAGGCCCACCACCTCTTCATCCTAGGGCACACAGGAACAGATAAGGGAGCAACGTGGCTTACGGGGGAGGAAAAGGCCCTGATTCCCTTCATTAGCTGCAGCTGGGAAAATAAGATATAAAGGGCATTTTCACACAGCACTTTGCTGGAAGCAAAGCGTGCATTATCTTTGTTTGTTAAGTCTTACCTGGGTTCCAGCATCTTCCCAAACTGTATGTGTCTCATTATCTTTTGAAGTCTGCAATTCCTTATCCTGCCCTGTCTCGTTAATTGCTGCAGCTTTGTGGTTTGTGTTTTATAATTTAGAAATATTTTGGGTTCCGAGGGAATTTCTTCCCTTTAAAAACTGTTCTTGGGAGAGTTTTTTTTCCTCCAGCCGAGGATAACTGGACATTGGGGGCCAAATTGGAGGAATTAAAGGGACTTTACTCACTTTTTGTGACTTTGTTGCTTTTGTGCCACGCCCCTTTGGGGTCATCACAAGCTTGATGGGGGGAGGGGGGATGTAGATTTACATTTTTTTAGTAAATACCTGCAGACATACCCTCTCAGCACGATTGTTTTGATGAGAATAATTTGAACCGAAAGTCTGCAAGAATTCTACCCAGCAAAGCATTAGTCTAACGCTAGAGGGGCAGTCCTCGACTTGTAACCAAAATGGGGAGCCGAATTTCCATCGCTAAGCAAGGTGGTGCTTTAAGTAATTCGTTGCTGAATTTCACGATCCCTTTCTGCCCTGGTTGTTGAGCGAATCACACGGTCCTTAAGTGAATCTGGCTTTTCTCACTGACTTCGCTTGTGGCAGAAAGTTCACCAACAGTGACGCATTTGTGCCGCTTGCCAAGGGCTGAAATTGTGACCATTTCATGCTGAGGATGCTTAATGGTCATAACTGCGAGGACCAGTCAAAGGATTCTTTTTTTTTTTTTCTTCTCTCGTTGCCGTTGTGACTTTGGATGGTCAGTAAACCCATGGTTGTAAGTCGAGGATTGGCTGGGCAACCCTCACAACCATGGGTTCGTTTCTAAATTTAGCATTTTGGAACACTAGATCATAACAGATCATCAGAGTTGGAAGGGACCTGGTAGGTCATCTAGTCCAACCCCACCCCCCACCCCAGCAGGAGACCCTACCCCATTTCTGACAAAGGGTAGTCTAATCTCTTCTTGAAAGTTTCCAGGGATGAAGCTCCCACAATTTCTGTTCCAGGGGTTGATTGTTCTCACTGTCAGAAAATTTATCCTTACTTACAGGTTGAATCTCTCCTTGATAACAGAATAATAGAATTGGAAGGGACTTTGGAGGTCATCTAGTCCAACCCCCTGCCCAAGCAGGAGACCCTACACCATTTCTGACAGAGGGGAGTCCAGTCTCTTCTTGAAAGCATCCAGGGTTGAAGCTCCCACAACTTCCAAAGGAAACTTCTGTTCCATGGTTCTCACTGTCCGAAAGTTTCTCCTTATTTCCAGGTTGAATCTCTCCCTGATTCCATCCATTATTTCTTAGCTGACCTTCAGGTGCTTTGGAAAATAGCTTGACCCCCTTCCTCCTCTCTGGGGCAGCCCCTCAAATATTGGAAGATGCTCTCCTGTCTCCCCTGGTCCTTCTCTTCACTAAACTAGCGAAACCCAGTTCCTGCAAACTGTTCGTTGTATGTTTTAGCCTCCAGTCCCTTAATCCTCTTTGTAGTGGTAATGCAGTGTTTTATACAGAATACAGATTAACAGAGTTGGAAGGGACCTTGTAGATCATCTAGTCCAACCCCCTGCCCAAGCAGGAGACCCTACACCATTTCTGACAGATGGGAGTCCAGTCTCCTCTTGAAAGCCTCCAGGGATGAAGCTCCCACAACTTCTGAAGGCAACTTCTGTTCTGTGGGTTGATTGTTCTCCCTGTCAGAAAGTTTCTCCTTATTTCCAGGTTGAATCTCTCTCCTTGTTCAGTTTCCATCCATTATTATTCCTGGCCTTCAAAGGTGCTTTGGAGAATAGATTGACCCCTTCCTTTCTGTGGCAGCCCCTGAAATATTGGAACACTAAAGATTAAAACTCTGGAAATGTAAATAACAAAGGGTCATATCTGAGTCCTTTGTCACACATGCAGCCTCCCCCACGCCCCCAACTTCTCCTGTTTTGTCCTAGTGTTTCTTGCACCAACGTGTGAAAAGCAGTGCACAAATACATCCGTGCCAAAGGTTGGGGAGAGTTGTACACTTGAAAGATAAAACAACAGAATGACAGAGCTGCGAGGGACCTTGGAGGTCTTCTAGCCTGACCCCCGTGCTCAAGCATGGGGCCTCCCATTTCAGACAAGTGTTTGTCCAATCTCTTCTTGAAAAAACCTCCATTAATGGAGCACCCACAAGAAGCAGTTCCACTGGTTAATTGTCCTCAGTGTGAGGAAGTTTCTCCATAATTCCTGGTTGCTTCTCTTCTTCAATTAGTTTCCACCCGTTGCTTCTTGTCCTGTATTCAGGGGCTTTGGAAAATAAATTTATCCCCTCCTCTTTGGGGTAGCCCTTCAAATACTGGATTACTGGTATCATGTCCTTTTTTTCTCTAGACTAGCCATACCCAATTCCTGCAATTCCCGTTTTTCATGGGTTGCAACCTCCACAAACCTGGGATGGCTCGAAAACTATTGAATCGTTAGAGTTAGGCTTGAGCTGGTGGCATGCTACGTTGCTCCAAGCATTTCGTTCTCCCTTTTAAGGCTGGACCAAGATGGCCCATCCTCACTGTGGCCAATTGCAAGTTTTGCTGGAGGAACACGGACAAAAAATCCGGTTGATGGGAAATGCAGCGTGGTCAAGAAAGCAGAAAGGATAAACACGTTTGATCGACAAGGATGGGCAGACAGTCCAGTGGAAGTCAGAAACTATAGCTGGGGTTCTAGAAAAAGAAAGGATTCTGCTTATTTTTCTGGAGGTGATAGAACACCGTAGGCCTGTCTGCTGGAAGTGTTTTTTTTTTTTTTTTGTCTAAGCTGATCCTACGAATTTGTCAATTAAAAGAAAGCCCAATCCTCAGCCAGTTCAGTTTTCTTCAACAGGGAACCAATTTCTGCTGAGTTGTCCTTGTCTGAAGTCTACTTTGCGTCTAGGGATGGCGGCAGAGTTTGCTTTGCTTCTATCTTGGGAAGAAAACATGGTTTGTCTCCTCCACGGGGAAGCGTAGGTTGGTTGCCCCTGACCACAATCATCTCAACCTCTTGGGTGTGAGAGAAATGGGGACAACACCTCTAAATCCCAGTTTGGTTTTTTCCTTAGTCTTAAACTCACGTTCGTTCCTAGAATGAGTAACACTGAGGAAGATTCAGGAAAACACTTCTAAGGGGTAGCGGGTAGAGGAAGAACCAGGAGAAAGCTAGATGAGAACTTGAGTTCCCTCCAAAACTCCATCTCTTGGGGGTCGTTAGAGAGGACTCGGTGCGGTCTTCAGCTCTTCTGAACGGTCCATCATCCCCCTCTTCCATAGCAGGTCGAACCGCAAGAGTTAGCCCCTTCTCATTTGGGTTCTTGGATGGTTTCCTCCGGTGTTACGGTTCTGGTTTTCGTCAAATCAAAGGTGCTGAGACGGAGACGTGAAAGGTAGGAAGACGACGCTCCAGACATCAATATGGTTAGAGAGGACATGGACTCTTCCATCTTCCATCTTCTGTTGTTTAACCACACCGGAGAGAAGGTCAAGAGGCAACCATCGTGGTGGAGAAAGGTGAAGGGGGCAAACCGAGGAACTGAAGAGCGGGATCTTTAAAAGGCAGAAAGAAAGAGAGAGAAAAACCATCCTGTTTGTTTTTAATTCGGCCCGTGATGGAGTTCCTTGATGGACTTGGTTGGGTGCTGTTCACCACCTCCAGGGCAAACCCACTCGCTCGGACGCTCCTTAGGCAACCTTAAACGCCTCTATTTTCTTCTTCCTCCTCTGCTGCCTTCCCTTCTTGTTCCTCTTCATCTTTTCATTCTTCTCTGCAAGACAACAAGCAAAAGACGCGGAGTCAGGCTACTTCCTTACTGAAGCGTGAAATCTTTGGCCAGGGCAGCAGCCCCGTTGGCTATTAACGAGCAGAACGTTTTTCTCCCTCGGCCAAAAAGAACCAACCCCCCCCCCCCACACACACACACGCACATCTGGTTTTCAACTCTCCTTTCAACACCAGCCGACTGGATGGTTGGTTTTTGTTGTTGGTGGTGTTGTCTTGTTCCAGAATATTGTCAAGGGGAGGGACTGAGAGGAGATGAAAGTTTGCTCGGCTTGAGAAAATTTTTGCAAAACCAGCTTGATGGCTTCTGAAATTTTCTGTCTGTCATCTCCCTCTCTCTCTCTCTAGTCGAAGTGCTTTTGCTATTTATTTATGTCTATCTTCTATCTGTCTGTCTGTCTGTTTGTTTGTATAGATAGATAGATAGATAGATAGATAGATAGATAGATAGATAGATA